TATATATATATATATATATACACACACACACACATTTTTGACTACCTATAATAAAAACATTTAGCTGGGGCATCAATGACCTCTGATCACAATGAGGGCTCACTTGTATACACACAACTAAGAACAGACTACAGACTGTTTTCTCTACTGCGCTGAGTGAGCCTACATTGTCTTTACATGGAGTATAATTATAAATATACTTGTTTGGGGACTGAGCTTTCTGGGAGCCAAGATCTGACTTCACTTTGTGCTGTTTGTGTTACCTATTACTTTTTAGAATTACTGCCCATACTTCTGGAGCCTCCATTTTTCTGGCAGAAAGCAAATACAATCATCTGATTGGCTACTATTATAATGCCTCTATCTCTAGTTTTTTATTTTTTTATTTCATGCTCTCTTCTGTGTCTTTAAGAGGCACCAACTGTATTCAATCAAAGATTGAAATGTCCCGTGGATGAACATTGTTCTGCACATTTTGATGACTTAGCTGAGTTCAGTCCTAGTAGGGAAGAGCACTTAAAACATACGGACAAAATGATGTCTCTCATTAAATCCGCAGGTCTGGCTATTAACCTGGGAAAGTATTCACTTGCCCTTAATGAGATTGAGTACTAAGGATTCATTCTCTATAATGGCGAAATAAAAACCAGAAGCTATCAAGGTAATAGCTAATGGTAAGGCTAAGACACCTTTTAAAAACAAGATGGTTGAATGAACTTAGCTTTTAGTTAAAGTTAGTTATCACATTCTTAGGTTTCATTTTATATCTCTCAAACTTCTCACATCTTCCTGAACTGTTAAAGTATTATCAACTGGCTGAGACAATGAGCTTAGATAGTATTAAATGGCTACTTGGAACCCATTACTGTATGTATACTGTATATACTGAAATTATGTTGCTAGACTCACTTAAATAGACTCTTTCCCATTGTCAAAACAGAAGAAGAGGCCTTTAAAGAGATGCTTACTAATAGGGATGCACTGATACAGTTTTTTTGGTATCGAGTACCGATATTTTTTTTTTCGGTACTCATACCGAGTACCGGTGCTGTGTGCCCCGATTATCAGGAAGTCAGGGGGCAGATTATGACCCATTGCCCGGCTTTCTCATTGCCTTTGAAGTCGGTGTTCTAGCAAAAGAACACCGGCTTCACTTGCCGAGGCTGCCAAGCTTCTTGACCAATCAGGATACCGGGCGGCAAGTCATGAGGTGCTGCCTAGCAACAAGTGAAGCCGGCTTCCGAGCCAGTCAGGAAGCCAGGCGGCACATCATGGCCCACCTCCCGGCTTCCTGATTGGCTAGGAAACCGGCTTCACTTGTTCATAGGCAGCCTAGCTTCCTGACCAATCAGGAAGCTGGGAGGCGGGTCATTACGTGCTGCCTGACGTACTGATTTGTTAGGAAGCCAGGCTGTCTAGCAACAAGTGAAGCCGGCTTCCTAGTCAATCAGGAATCCAGGAGGTGGGTCATAACCTGATTCGAAAGGAAGCCGGCTCCATGATCCCTCGACACTGCCAATCAGAGGGAGATCTCTTTCTGACCAGACGTTCTGGTATCAGAGGTAAGGATCGGAGCATTTGGGTGAGTACAAGTACTCACCCAAATACTCTGTATCGGCACCGATACTAAAATTGGTATTGGTGCATCCCTACTTAGTAATATGAAAAAGGAATCCTTATTGAAGGGATTACAATGTAGCAGTGAAGAGGGTGCCCTTGTACCACTAAACTTGTTTTGCTGCTAATAGGATCAGTAATGTTTTGCCCCTTTACATTCAGACATAAGGATCCTCTACCAAGCTTGTTAATTAAAGAAAATCTGTCAAAACCAAAACATGTAGGTTGCCTTGGCTGACCTCCTAATTATGCTAGCTGCCTGAGCGTTATGCAGATTCACTGGCTTTAAAAGTTTGAGTCACTGAACTAGAAATAGCACGTATCAGGTCAGAACTACTAATGTACTCGCTTGTTCTAGGTCAGTTATTGTTAAGGACCTAAGACATGCCTCATGCATCCTAGTGTTTTTCCCAGTTGAACATGGTCTTGGTCTAGATCTCCCCAGAACTGCTATAAGCAACAGTTTCAGCAATGATTTCAGGCAGGAACAGGGGTTTCCACTCAGTGATTGTTACAATGTAAACAAAAATGAATACGTTGCAGTTAGCTGCAGCTCTCAAGAGTATCTCATAGCAATATATATTATTTTTCACACAGTTATTGCTTAAGGGGAATCAGTTGGTATTGGGTTCTTCTTACAAGAGAATCTTTTAATTCGCCCTCAATGGACTTCTCTAAGCAAACCTGCAAGCTATATATATATATACACACAAATGTGAAAAAAACAACACAACCACAAGGCAACCTATCATGTGAGATTTACAAAAGTGTCTATTGCTGACCTATTCCATTTAAGAATGCTAGATGGCTGGCTGTTATGCTTTGGTTTAAATTGAGTCGCTAACATGAAGTAAATTGATCAAATAAAACCTGAAACTTTGAATCATTTACAACATGATTGTTCCTGGTGTGTGACTCAAAATGTACTAACACTAGGTAACAAACATTTATAGGAGACCATCAATGGCAGCCCTCATACTTCTGTTATGACATGGTCTCTTTAGAATATTAAAGGCATTGAAGCTTAACATCCAGGCAATTAGCCATTTCAAAAGGTCTGCAATGCCAGCCCATTACTACTCACATTACTTATTTCCTTTAAATTAGCAATTAGGGCAATGACGGTGTTCAAAGTGCAGTAACCAGTAGCAACCAGAGTCCTGCTCCCTGTAGTTAGACTAGTGAAACATAATTGCTAAATGTATGCAGAGAGAATTTTAGAGGATTTACATCCTTTATTTTTACTGGGGCCTCCCTGAAGAAAAAAAAAAGAGAAGACTCCAGATGACTGTTAAGTGATTGCTGAGCAGAATTGCAACTATAAGAATAGAATTTTTCCTAGAGGAAACTAACCTCTCACTTATGATGGTACCCACCTCATCCAAGGCTTCAGATCCGGAACTTGCAATATTTCCAGGACTCAAGCAATTGCTGCTTCTAGCCAGCGAATGTGAATTTTTTAAATTGTGCGCCTGTTAGTGAGATTTCATCTAATGTTGTATCACAGAGGCAGAAAATGGAGTAAAATCTCTTACAGAGACAAAGACAGCAATAAAAACCCCCAACCCTTCTGCAATTTAATTACACATAAAAAATGTCATCCAAGCTTCTAGGGCCTCCTTTATATGTCTTGGTCCTCCTCTACCACCAGGGCCATTTTACCTGTATAGCAGGAAGGGAAGCCAGGTTCGAGTTTGTGCTCCAGGAGACAAATGTGTGCAGTGTTTGCACTTCAGGCATCATTGATAAATACAGAACATTATTGTTACAATGTATATACACTGATTCTTTGATGTGTAGGTCAAATTATTTTCCTGTCTTTTGACTTTTTGATCTGCACATATCATGAATTAAAGCAACTGCAAAAGTAAAACAACAAAATACAACAAAACTACAAAAAAAGTCCCCTTAAATCCACCCTTATTAACTACTACCCCCCGCCCC